CAGCAGCTTTCCTTCTCTATTATAAGCACATCATAACCAACTCCAGGATTTTGCAGTTACTCTTACAATCTCCAGTGTGAATGCAGCACACTTAGCATTGCTGGGTGGAAATTCTGAAATGGCTGAAAACTCTTCTGCAAATCTCACTCTATTACTCCTTAATTTTTTCCAAGACATGGATTCTGTAACCTGTTAAGCAAATTGATTAACCTCATTTTAGTTACCCTTATATAGTCACATTATGTGCCCTGCAATTAAGGTTTAAAACCTTTTCTTTAGAAAATAGGCACTTCGTATTTGAATGGAAGGAGGAGCCGATCAGGCGAATAGTTGCTGCATCATAACAGACTATGATAAAGCAATCGCACAGAGCAGGTTTGGATTTTTTTTTTCCTCCTAAAAATTCGTGAGTATTTAGAAGTACCTGGGTTATGCAAATATTCTGAATTCTGAGTCTTTCTGAACCACTAACTGTGCCTCAATCTAGTCAATTCGGTTTTGCCGGGTCTGCTTCTGTACACAAACATGGGAATGGTAGAAGTTACTCTGCCATAATTACACTCTTAAAGGACACAGGGATAGCTGAGGAAAACTCAGTGAAGATTTATTTGTACAGTATTTTGAAAACAAGGCATTATATGAATGGTAAATCATTCATTTTTTGCATTATATGAATGGTAAATCATTCATTTTTTGCAAACCAGATTTATGTGCCACTGAGATATAAATATTATTTTCTCATTCTTTTATAGGTATAGATATTTTAAATCTCTGTTTTAGGAGAAACTATCCAGAACTTCTTTTCAAAAAACAAGAATTGTTCCCAAAGGGATAAAAGAAGCAAAAAAGGCTTTGTTTGATTTATTTGCGATAAGGCCCTTCAAAACTTCATTTTTTATGACTTGAAAAAAAAGATGTACACAACACTCCTAACCTCCTGTTATGACAGTTTATGTTTCCTATCCAGCTTATTTAACTCAAATGCCTGGGAAATAGACACAATTACCACCTTATGGAATGCTACTTAACTTTAAATGCTCCCCTCTGAATAGAAATCCACTTTATCTTCTCAAAGTTATTCCAGTTTCTCAGGAATTATTTCCTCTATAGGCTCCTGAAATGTTCTTGTTTCATCATCTAAAAATTTAAACTAACAATTGTTCAGAAATATCTTTTATTAGAACAAAGGCAATTCCCATACAGTGGATTCTGTTCACAAGAGCTTGTACAAAGGAGCTGCATACTATGCCCATATACAGCTTTAATCATTCACTCTTTCAGCTGTTATCAATTTAAAACCAATGAAACTCCCACACTGAGTCCATTTGAGCAGTCAATTTTAATATCTTGGGGCATCTGTAGTTATTCTGAATTGGCTGCAAAAGCAGAACTAACAAGTTAAGCTCTAACCATAAGTCTACATCAGGCTGGTAAACCATACATCAAACACAGACAGTTAGTCAATACTGCAGTATGAAAAACCAACAAGCATTTTTAAGAAGAGCAATATATTCATAATATGTTTGGTGGTATGGTTTACATTACACATCCCTGATATCTACACATTAAACTTTCCATTTAAGATGGCGGTGTGTGTGACAGCTTTGCACATGGATATTAAATGAGACACCAGAAGAGGATGGAATGGACATTCGCAGGTTGTATAATACAAAATGATGATTACAGCTGCAATGAATTGCTCATGCTGGTGAGCTTCAAGCTTTCCCTGAGCCTGACAGACCTAGTGTTTCTGAGTAGCTTTTGCAGGCAAAGCCACTAACTCTGAGCTGCACAGATCTAGTCTATGGGAGACAATACTTTTGGAAAAGAAACAATTAAAACAAAATCACAAAAGCCACATCCTCACTGAGAATGTCACTGTTTGACTGTTTTTGGTGTATATGTAGGAGATGTGGCCACATTTGGAAGGAACTCATACTTCAATGTTTTTTATTAAAACAAACAAGAAGGGTCTCACTAATACTCCAAATTCTAGGGTAAAGCTCAGATTCTGACACCAGAGAAGGTATAGTGTTGCTGTGTCCAAACATTAATTATATCTGTGCAGCATAATTCAGTGCCTTCCAAAAGTAAATACATGCAGAGTTAATTCTA